AAGACAATTGAATTGTGATGTTCAGATTAATAAACTTTGTTTTTTGCAAACATTCATTCATTTAGAATTTGATGCCTGCAAAATGTTCCAAAAAGCTGGGACAGTAGCAAGTTTACCACTGTAGTATAAATATCACCTTTCCTTTTAACAACACTCAATAAGCGTTTGGAAACTGGACTGTAGGCTTTTTATGATCAGTGTTTTTGCAATCAGGTTTGAAAATATACAATACTTGTTATCCAATTTGATCAGAAGAAGGAACAAGACAACAATGCATTGGGAAAATTATAATTTAACCCCCCCCCCACCCCCCCGACATTATTGAAAAAAAAATGCTGATAAACATTAAATATAACGTAATGCCGACTGGTTTACATCTTTTTTGGCATTGAAAAATGGAAAAAAAATGCATGAATATCACCAGCTATTCGGGTGGCCGGGGCTTTTGGTAAAACTAGTGCTATCTTGGTTCCACAGCTGTATTTACCAAACACGTACATACCAGCTATACCTTCGACTGTTCCTTTTTACAATAATAATAAGAAGAAGAATAAGAATAATAATAATGCATTTAATTTTGAAAGCGCTTTTCATCGTACTCAGACACTTTTCAAGAGTTTAAAACACGGGATAAAGTGTACACTTTAAAGCCAAGCATAAATGATTTAAAACAAGCACATTTAGAAGAAGAAAAACAAAGCAGAAATGGGTAAAAGAGATTAAAACAGGGGTGTCAAACAGACGGCCCACGGGCCGGAACCGGCTGCTAACGTCTCTGATCCACTGGTAAAAGGACACTTTGATCCTAATGAGGTTCGATCAGGCCCGCAGGATCATTTAAAAGTGAAAAAATGAACAAAAGACACGGAATGAATATTTTTAATAAGGTGCAATTCATGTAATATCCGCTAGGTGACACACTGATAAAAGTAAATTGCACATTTGTCTCAGGAAATCTAAGGAGCTTCATGAATTTTTTTTGTAAAAGATCTGTTTATTAAATTTCAACATTTTCCTAATGTTCTTGTGCTTCTTTAGATCAAAACAAAGGAAAGACATTATTTTGGTTATTTATAGCAGAGTATGGTATAATTTTAATGGTCCAGCCCACTTTACATCAACCCACGCCGTATGTGGCCCACAATGTGAAATGAGTTTGACACCCCTGAATTAGTGCCACAACATTCAATGTTGGTTTTCGGTCTTCCCGCTTTTGCTTTCTCAGTCGTTTACAAAATGGTGAACGGCACCTCATCCTTGTCTATGAACAAATGAGCCATTTGGGGATGCTCCTTATCTCTGCAATCACTCACCTGTTTCCAATTAGCCTGTTCACCCCTGGAATGTTCCAGACTGTTTTTCTTTTTATGAGAATTCCTCACTTTTCGTAGTCTGTTGTTGCCCCTGTCCCAGCTGTTTTGGAATGTGCTGCAAATTCAAAGTGACAGAATGCCATATTTCCAAAAAAAAAAAAAAACTAAAGCGTTCATCATTTTTAAATTCTTGTTGACACATCTCTGACGTTGAATATAGGTTAAAAAAGATTTCAGTGGAACTGGGGTTTGCACAATTTGAAGAAAAATCATTTAAAAAATGCGATGATAATATATTCTCCAGGGACTGAGTATAATTTGGAATATGGAGAAACCTGATTTGTTTTTTTTCTAAGATTTAGTGGAACATATTGTAACAAAATCAATGCCGCATCACTTCAGCGCCACTGATTTTCTGTCGGTGTCCTCTGAGCGATGGGCCACCAATCATGTTGAGCCGATTTTCATGGAAAAATGCATGATTGGTGTTCACCAATCAAAGGTTTGAATGGCCAATCGATCACACTAAATGACCAATTGTTCTTTTCATTTTGTACTCTAAACATTTGCGGCAAATGCAAACAGCATGATGACAAATTCCTTTAAGAGAAATTTAGTATATCATATTCCTTTTCGATAAGATGACACGGTCCGTCATGCAATATGTAAATGTTTCTAGATACAATTTTATGTTCACCAGCAATGCTCAAAGCATTGAGGAATACAGGGTCGCTTGCATGCCCCTCAAAGCAAGGCATTTTTTACCGCAGCCATCTTAGGTGGTTACACACGTATGTACCCACAGCTCTGAACAACGATCATCAACTTTTTTTATGATGGCATTTTCAAAGTATTTTGGTGACTTGCCAGCTGATCTACAAGTGCAATAGTGGCATAAAGTTACTCTATTTGGAGGAAACGACCCACACACGCCATCCAAGGCTGATTTTTTTTTTGGGCAGAGATCCCAATGTTGTTTACGAGCTGGAGTTGACAACATGCTGTACGTGACACATACCGGATGAAAGCTTCCAAACCACTGGAGGATTACAACTACTATTACTTTGAAAGCGAATAGATAAATGTTACATTTCAAAATCTTATCCGAAGAAGCTGTTTATTTGTTTAGTTGTTTGTTTGTTTCGTTTAGTTGTTGCTGAGTGTTGTTATTGTTGTACGACTACCGGAAATGGTAGGCTGTATTGCACATACAGTAGCCATATGCAAACTGAGTGGTGAGATATGACACGCCTGTGCATCATGCAAACTGCAACATACCTGCAAAGTGTTGCTGCATTCTTTATTCATTGGTGGCACAAACAATATATATACCGGTATATGTATATTTTTTAAACTCAAGAATGCGTACTTTCTCTAGTAGACGTAAGCATTTTTTGGCCTTCGCACTCACAAAGCTATACTAAGGTCTTGCGTCTTTTGTAAAACATCATCCATCCATCCATCCATTTTCTGATCAACTGAGCCTTACAATGGCGTGTTGGAGCCTATCCCAAAATAAATGAACACCCATTTGCATTCACAATCACATAGAGGGATAATTTAGGCGAGTGTTCCATTAACCTGCCACGCATGTTTTTGGAATGTGGGAGCAAACCGGAGTACCCGAAGAAAATCCACGCAGGCACGGTGAGAACATGCAAACTCCACACAGAAAGGCCGGTGCCGGAATCGAACCCTGCACCTCTGTACGGTGAGGCCGACGCGCTAACCAGTCAACCACCGTGCCGCCTTGTAAAACATCATATTACACATTTTGTGTCATTTCACATTCGCTGACTGAGCTGATGACATGTGGCCAGGGAAAGAGGCCCGATCAGTAGCAGAATAATATAATATAATCGGAAACTACTAAGACTCCTGACAGAGCTTCTCTTGTGGGTTGGTCAACTCATGCCAAGAATGTTAAATGATTCACTGAAAAATCAACACATTGGGATTTTTTTTCTTCTATTCTGATAGGCGCTGGATGACGGTAAAGGCTGTTGGTCTGAAAAAGAATATTTTACACCCAACTCATTTGGTCGGTATCAGTAGCTTAAAATCAAGTCAAGTCAAGTCAGCTTTTATTGTCAAATATGCTCTATGTGTAACATACAGCACAGATGAAATTACTTTCCTCTCTCAACCACAGTGCAAACTTGTAGTGCATTGAACACACACAGCTAAAATTTACGTGAAAATTTCATAAGACATTAATATATAAATATGTTTAATAAAAATAAATAAACCTGATCACATCACCCCTACTTTTCCTACTTTTCAGTTCATGCATGTAAACTTTTGACAACTCATAGTAACACTAGAGAGCTTGAATAAAGTGTTTTGTCACACTACCTCGTGCATTCAGTGATTCACTGCAAATACAATTAAAGAATTAAAGCCACAGATCCTCTGCAGTCACTGATTAACTTTGCATTGATGGTTTGCAAATGATATGCGGGCATCTGCACATTTGTCTAATCTTAAATGCAGATGTGTCCAGGTGGGTCGCATTATCATTTCATGAAATAATTTCTCTCCGACTGATTTAGATGACTCAGGTGTGACTGATGCAGCTTCAGAATCCTGACGTCCTCCTTCATCTCTCCTGACGATCATTGACACGTGCACTGGAACTTCACTTTGTGATTTTCCCAGTCATTGTACAATTCAGAAACCAACCAGGAAAAAAAAAAATACGCCTCCAGCATTTGAAGGGCAATCATCAAGTGAGAATTCAGCAAGTCATGGAATACCTCAGGGTACCTCACCAGAGTACATTTCAGCCATTATAAAATGATTAACATTTCAGAGCCATTCAATGCAACTGAGATGAGTGAAAAGAGAGAGCAGAAAATGAAGATGGAGAGGATGAAGAGACAGTGAAATGTATTTGGTCAGTGAAATACATTTTCATTCAAATGCCAAGGTATTTATTGAAAAGGTGCCATTGTGGGACTATTTGCAGGTAAAATTTATGTTCGTAAACATCCGTAGAATACAGCTGCTCATAAATTTACATACCCTGTCAGATGTGTACACAGCAAACACTGGAGTGTTGAAATTTCAGGGTTATATTTTTGAGAGTTGATTTTAACTCCAAAAGTGTAATTTTAACATTTGGTGTCGAGTGGTGTCCACAGTGTTATTTTACTAGAGTTAATCATGTAGATTAACTCTGCAGTGTTAGATAAACGCCACCGTTCGATTTTCCTCCTCCTCACTTACCACTGGGAAACTCTGACATTCAAACAAAAGGAGTTTCAGCTCATGAAGCCATTTTCGCTCACAGAAAAGTTAACACTGACTTGCTTGAAATGATCTCTTCAAGTGGTGTTCTCAAATTGTGGGGGATAAAGTTGATGGTCTTGAATACAAAGTTGGACTTGTTTTGCAGTGAAATCAATCATGACATCCCACAGTTTTGTCAAATAACGCATGTACTTATTATCACAATTTATTATTTGCAGAGATTTTTTTTATCATTATTATCGTACGTTGTGGCAGATTTGGGGGCTGGCGAATTAATCTTGTTCAGGGCAATTTTTAAACTAACACTCACTGAGAAGGCAAACAACTGTGTCTGAGACGAGTTATTTGTCTAATCATGAAGTGTTACTTGAACTGTGCTTAGTGAGTTAAAAATGGTATTCTCCCCTCGTGTTAAATATTTAACTATTTTAAACGTGTTTATTTAACTCTGGAGAGTGTAGAGCTATAGAAACTCTGGAAAAAAGTGTTTGTATCTCAATCAATTAGTCAGGGGTATCAATTAGACATTCATAATAAAGACCCAATGACGAGAGGAGACATTTGATTCTGGTACCAATCACTCGAGGGGGAAACTAGGAGAAGCGTTAGGTTTCAGTTCTCTATGCCAGGGGTCCCCAACCGCCGGTCTGCAGACCGGTACCGGTCCGCAGAGCATTTGGTACCAGGCCGCACAGAAAGAACTTGCCTTAATTCCGTTTTATTTATTTCGGAATACGAAAGATGCTTTATTTTGAAAAATTACCGGATTCTCCGTTACATCCGTCTGTGTCACGCTTGACACACGTCAAGCCACGCTTCTCCGTCACGTGACCGATTACGCTAAAAACAAAACGCCGGAGCTCGCAAAATGAGTAAAAAAACTGCTGGAGATCGCAAATGGATTGGATTGGATTGGATTGCTTTATTGTCATTACACATTCGTGCAACGAAATTTTCTTAACAGGCACGCTCTGCACAAGAAATATGAAAAAAAAACAATGACAAACATGGGATACAGTGCAAAGGGCCTGTCGGTACTCGCTATGTAAAGCGCTCCGAGATCTTAGTACAGGAAAGGAAACCACTAGGGAGGGAGAGGTTTAAAAAAAAACATGCTCAAACTATCCTCTTTCTGAGGATAATTTGGGTCAAGGAGAAAAAAAAACCTAAGCACAGAAACAAGTATATGACAGTTACAACAAGTCACAAGACATAACATGTAATGAGGGGATGGGTGGAAACGGGGTTGGGGGGGCGCCACGCGGCCTGTCCGACCAGCTGCTCAGCCAATCGGCGAGCGCTCCGCAGATCAGGTTCACGTCACGGGGGAAAAACAGGAGGAACGATGAAGACGGTGATTATAAGGATGTGTATGCGTGTGTGATTGTCTGGTTGTGTAAAAAAAGTTTAGCATGGAGGTGTGTTTATGGTATACGTATTTACATATTATATACATTGAAATATTTTGTTGACATTTTTTTTCACTTATTTATGATATATTGTTTCATCAAAGATGGAAATCCTCCAACTTTTTCATTCCCATATTAAAAGTGGTGATATTTTACATTAAACTAAGGACTATATTTACAAAAGTTTTGCAGCTAGTTTTTGAACAATGCATAACAAAGAGTTTAGTGTTATCTTTATTGTCTTTGATTATACCGGTGCAGTAAAAAGCCCTCTAAAACAGGGGTCCCCAACCGCCGGTCCGCGGACCGGTACCGGTCCGCAGGGCATTTGGTACCGGGCCGCACAGAAAGAATTAGCCTTAATTCCGTTTTATTTATTTTGGAATACGAAAGATGTTTTATTTTGAAAAATTACCGGATTCTCCGTTACATCCGTGTGTGTCAGGCTTGACACACGTCAAGCCACGCTTCACCGTCACGTGACCGATTCCGCTTAAAAACAAAACACCAGAGCTCGCAAAATGAGTAAAAAAACTGCTGGAGATCAAATGACGGCGTCCTTAAAAGTACGTTCGAGACAACTGGATTAAAGTTATGGCTGAATATTCTGAGATCGCCACAGTAGCACTGTTGCTATTTCCGACATGCTACCTGTGTGAGGCGGGGATTTTCTGCAGCAACGGCGATTAAAACAAAATTACGAAGTAGACTTGACGTAAAACACACACTTGAGGTGTCATTGTCTCCTATTACCCCGAGATGGGACCGTCTGGTTGCAGAAAATCAAGCTCGGGGCTGTGGTGAGTCGTCATTTTCATGCACTTTGAATTTGCGTTGTATCGTATTTTGAAGGGATTAAACATTACCATAGCGAACAGAGTGTTGCGGCCAGATTAGATGCTCCTTGTGTTTATTATTATATTTTGAAAACACCACAGTTTTCATGCATCTCATACCATATTATTTTGTTGTATGTTTTCCGCCACACCTTAAGTGCCGGTCCCTGAAAATATTGTCTGACATAAACCGGTCCGTGGGGCAAAAAAGGTTGGGGACCCCTGCTCTACGCGTCACGCAAGGATCACCCCGCTTGCTCTCTCATTTATTTCTCATTGAGAATCTAATACATGGGTGTGTCCAACTTAAAGGGTGAGGGCTGTTGAAGACACACTGAATTTGTTTGACTATGTGTGTGTATGTGAGTGAAAATTCCGTACATGTGTGCAATCATTACAAAAACACCAAGTTGCAGCTGGTGTTGACAGCTCCATCCATGTCTGACCTTGCTCTTGTTGAGTCTTAATACTTCTCTCTTTCCAACCACTTTCTTGGAAAGGTGGTTGCGTTCCTCAACTGTCACACAGTGAGGGACTTAGCATTCTTTATTATAAATGTGAGCATGTCATTATTAAAAGCATAAGCGTTCTTCATTGCAGGCATAAGCGTTCTTCATTGCAAACTTAATCAATTTATCATGAATAATATGCAAATGTATGATAACTAAAAACAATCAACCCAACACAATTGAACACTGGACTTTCTGCTGTGTGACGATTTTTTCAAGAAGGCTTATTCAACTTTTTTAAGACACAGTGAAGCGTAAAATGGCTTATTTTAAATTGGATAACATGATAAGCTGTCCACTGTAGTAACCGCTGTCCCTGAAAGGGTTAAACTGTAAAACATTGCAGAATAGCAAAAATATTAACCAAAACGTAGAATTGAAGAAAATAATGAGATGCTTCCTGTTTGATCATTGGTTGTATTTTGCCCGAAATTTTGTTCAACTTCTGAGCACGAGTACAGATGAGAATATTTGCTGGGTAACACAATGCAGTATACTGTAAATGTTAAACCGGGGGAAATTTTTTTTTAAAAATCAAAAAATCAATGGTTAGAGTAGGAGGTATCTTTGGTAAGATGCCTCATCTTTCCCAAACACCACTTGTGGCAAATGTCATCAATGAGGGTTAAGTAGGAGCTGGTTATCAGTCTCACAGTATTTTTTGTAATCTGCTGGAGGGTTTCAGGGTCAGATGCAGAAGATTTGATGTACATTACTGAGTTGCAATTTCTTCTTTTTTGCTTGTTTGTTTTTCTGGATGTTCACTCCGCTTCTTAAACATGTTCACGTGGTACACCTGGTGCTCGTTGCGACGTTCTGTCAAGTGGACCTCGTATGTCACAGGTCTCATCTGCCTGGTAACAGCATGGGCCCCTGCTATTTTGCCAGCAGTTTGTTTTCCGAACTGGGCAGCAACAGCAGGACTTTGTCACAAGTCTCAAAGCAGCGTGTTTGGGTAGAAGGGTCCTACCACGCCTTCTGTTTCTCTGGCAGAATGGTTGTACCACACCTTCTGTTTCTCTTGCGCCTCCTGCAGGTTCCCAAGTGTTGAGGCAGACGCAGCCTTTAGCGTATTCCTCATCTAACATAATTTTACTGCCGGTATTTAAATAGTGGTGACTCGTATTGAGATTCGGGTGGCCTTAAGCTTCTCTCCTATGGCATCGCGCACGGATGCTTTTTTTTTTTTGTTTTTCTGGCAAGAGGGTGGCAAGGGCGGGGCGGACTGATGAAATGTCAGGACAGAAGCGCTTTAAAAGGACGAGGACAGACGAGGTCGGAAGACGGACCAGCAAAATAGGGTAAAGTGCCCATCTCTGCTAAATGATCACCTTCAACAGCAACAACATCAAAGCCCTAATTACTTTCTGACTGCGCATTATGGTTACAAAATAATTTTAGGAAATTATAACAAAATACATAGAATTGCTATCCGTACTTGAAGCAGTAGTATTATTAGGAGTGTTTAAGTGCTTGGCCTTCTGTCAGTCAAACATTGGCTTGCTCTGGTGCCAAGGCCCTCGGTCGTCTCGTCTTCTCCTCTGATTAGACCTACCACTGTATGTTGAATGCAGCAGTTATCGATGTACAGTGCTGACTTTACTGGTTGTAATACCTCACCTACAAAATTGATGGATTTTTGCCGATAAATGTTCACTTCCTTTTTAGATTTTGCAATGATGGCCACTCAGGACAATCACTGCCGTTCAAACTGGATGACAAATTACAGACACCAAAAATGTACATTATCATAAATCAACACATCTCACAGGTTCAATTAATATAGCATACTCCTCAAGACGGAATGTGGAAGGGTGCCAGTTTAATTCATTTAAAGTGAAATTTACCCGTGCTCAACTCCACTGAGTCAGCATTGCTGTTCTAGGATGTGGACAGCGGGAGACAGGGCGTTTGTAGGGGCTCTGATTCTGTCGCTTCTTGTGATTGCAAAAAAAAAAACAACTGGTTTTAAAACGTCACTATTAACTATAAAATGTTTTTTTTTTTTTTTTCTATTGGAGAACAAAACAAAGCCTTTGCTCAAGGTTCTTTTGATGGCGCACAAGCCATGTGTTTATTCTGGTGATATGGCATTTTACTTTTCCATATCTAAAAACAGTCTTATAAATGCTAAAAGCTCCACTTACATGAACACAGCACTCTGCCATAAATTGGGGGCTGGGCAGGGCATTGGCAGCAGGTCTTCAAGGAAGGTATATTTTGATTATGGTGCTAAGAAATGGGATGGCAAATCTTTTACTATTCATTTCAACTTGCCGGTCAGAAGGCTTCCAATGCAGTATGGTATTTCCATTGATTTCTTAAAACTGTGTCTGATTGGATATTCTTTATGAGCGTATTTGATTTAACCTCACTTTGTATCTAGAAAGACATTAAATTGAAGTGAAAGCCATTACAGTACTTGAGCAAGCATGCGTTCATTTCCTTTTCCCTATCCAGTCGGGATCAGCAGCTTGAGCAAAAAGGAAGACTTCACTTTTCCCAGGCACATTGTCCAGCTCACCTGAGGGATTTACGCAACCATTGCTTTACTGTTCACATTCAAGCATTCATTTGCCACTCATGTAAATAGAGAGCAAGATTTAACTGAACAAAGGGAATCAACCACAGACAGAGAGATGAATCACAGGACAAGACTTGAAATATAGGCCAATCTCCTATTTTGGGTTTAGATTTTTTTTTTCTTATCAGATTCCAGAGGAATAGTGCCTCGCCAGTCATGAATCTCACCACACGTAACTGGTATGAACGTGAAAACAGACTCATTTTCATCTCCTCTACCTTCCAGAGCTTCTGCTTTACATACAGGCCCTTGTACTCATTGTGGTGTTTGTTTTCATTGTGTCTTCTCATGTTTGATTCTATTCTATTCTATTTTACTCTGCATTGTGCGGAGAAGCATGGATCGTAGTAGAAGAGTGGTTGTCTCCCCAACCCAAAGGTTGTTAGTTTGATCCACAGCCCTTGTCACTATGTCGAGGTGTCTCTGAGGACGATACTGAACACCCAGATGCTCCCAAAGCTGCGTCATCGACAGGTGAATGGACGACAGTTTAAAAATGCTTTGAGAACCTCAGAGGCAGAATAGCGCTATACAGGCGAAAGCCCATTGAACATATTCTTTCGTTGCAGCCACTTTGGTAATGTGCCTCCCACCCGCCCTTATGCCTATTGTTGTCCAACATTCGTTTGGGCATTTTGGGAAGGGGAGGTGTCCATTTACCCGAGGACACGGGCAGCATGGTTGATAATGACTTGAAACAGAAAAGAAGTGACGCTAGTTGGTCTTAACTAATGCGCCATGTGTCTGGGATTTGTAGTAGTATCGGTGTGTGCATTACATACCAGCGGGTCAACCTCTAATGCACATTTGATGATGATCTTGCCTATAATCACCCCTTGGACCAAATTTGGCACACGGACCTGACTTAAAGTTTTAATCATATAGTTTAACCTAGGGGTGCCCAACGTTTTTTGACCAAAGGTGTACTTTTCTATCAATCAACCCCCTGCGATCGACCCGTTACCGCATTCGCATGCACTTATATACGCATGCCCTGAGGAGCAATAGCCATAACGGCCCCTAAAATGAACAAAACAGAAAAAAGTGGACGCAAGAGGTTTGTGAATTTGTGAAAAGGAAATCACTGCCTACCTTTGTAGAGACCTGACGTGGAAGCATGGGACGCACTTTTGCAGCGTGTTAACAATCGTAGCTCACATGTACCGATTTCAAATGCTTCTCCTGGCACCCCAGATTCCCAGTCTTTGCCAGTGCCCTCGGTGAATTCTACATGAGAATCATAATAACAATAAAAGAAATAGCGCAACAGCTTTGATCGCAAGCTGCAATTGCAGACTGCTGACTGCTCACAACTTCCGGTGATGCAAGTCAAGCACCACCTGAGCTTTAAGGCAGGGGTCTCCAACTCCGGGCCTGGAGGGCTACTGTCCTGCCTGTTTTCCGGCTCTCCCAGCTGCAACACACCTGATTTAGACGATCAGCTCATCAGCCAGCTCTGAAGCAGCATTAGAATGATCCTGATTATTTGAATCAGGTGTGTTGCTCCTGGGAGAACTGGAAAACAGGCAGGACAGTAGCCTTCCAGGCCCGGAGTTGGAGACCCCTGCTTTAAGGTGACCTGCTTTTTTTATTTGATTTTATTTTGAAAATACTTTTTGTGAAAGTGAAACTGACAGGATGCTTAGAGTGCAGTGTGGACTAATACAAGAATTTATCATATTAATAGCATGCACACAGACGCACACGTTTTCCCCCTCTAAACCCCTCACAATCAACTTGTGACCAGTCTGCAAGCTACCAGTCGATCGCGATCAAGGTATTGGGCACCCCTGGTATAACCGTTAAATTATTAATATAGGGAAATGCATGACTGGGGCATGTCCTACCTTGCTTTGAGCAAACATTTACGTCATCACTGAGTCGGAAATTCATCCCTGTTGTTTGCACTAAAGTCAAGTGAAACACGGCACTGTCACTTATTGTAATTATATGTTAAACACTGTTCTGATGACTTATCTCAACTTTTTTAGTTCATTTCAACTTTTTCATTTCATGGTTTACCTGATTGGCAACTACAATGATTCACGCCAGCTGCTGTAACCTCACTGGCATTGAAGAAGTTAGTTGTTTTAGTGAGGTGAGATTTTGTCATGCATCTCTGCAGACGAAATGAAACCGCAACTCAGGGAAGCAAGACAGGTGTGTTTTGAAAGCGTATTTAATTTCAGGAAGTTAAAAAGGGAAGACAAGGCATATTGAAATCATCAATAAAAAAAAAAAAACACGAAAACAAGCCATAACGTGAAACAAAACTACATTTGCCAACAGCACGTCTCCTTTGTCAACATCAGCTGTGGTAGAATCTCCTCTACTTTCACCAGCAAGCCTCCCTCTGCCTTTTATTATTAGGTCTATGTATGTACAGTGATCCCTCACTTATCGCAGAACCCTTCTGTGATTATAAAAAATATATATAACGCAACTTACTGTCATGTTTCGGTTTGTGACCAACAGGTGGCACTGCATGGCTCTTCCTGTCGCTGCACAACTGTTGCTCCTCCCTCTTGCCTGCTTTTTGGGGTCCACCACCACCACACAAACGTGACAGAATGACCCGACCATCAACTGGACCCCGCAGGTACAAAGGACTGGTTCCAGTTCCACCATGTGCCTGCCGGAGCACGTCTGCGGCCGACACCCTTTTCCCCTTCAGGCAGCGCTGATCTTGCGGCTGTCCCATGTTCCCCCTTCAAGCAGCGCTGGTGATGCCCATGTTTTTGTCTCGTCAAGCCGCGTCTACGGTGGGCCGAGCCCCATCCGCGTCCACGTTGAGCCGAGGCTCGTCACGTGTCTGTTCGAGCTGAGTCACATTCATGTCCACAACGAGCCGTGCCACGTCCACGCCCACGTCAGGCCGAGCCCCTGTTCACGTCCGGCTGTCCCATGTCCCCTGTTACGTCGAGCACTGGAGGGCTCTCCCGGCAGCTGCACACCTGTTGGTCGTTATGTCGTTAGCCGTTTAAAAGGACTCCCGGCACGACCACTCAGTGTCGGGTCATTGTTTGTTTGTTTGTTTGCTTGCTTGCTTGCTTGCTTGTTTGTTGCTGTCATGTTGAGGTCATCTGCTCATCCGCCCCTACACACCTGCCCGGCGCCTCAGGTCTGCGGACCAGACATTATTAGAAGTACCAAGAACTAAACTGAGGCTCAGAGGGGATCGAGCCTTTTCTGTTGCTGGTCCCTCTCTCTGGAATGACCTCCCACTGAACATTCGGCAAGCGTCCTCGCTGCCCATCTTCAAAACCCGCCTCAAAACTCACTTGTATTCTTTGGCATTTGACTCAGCATGACTTAGATTTGTTCTTGGTTTTGCTGTTCGGTGCTTCCTGCCGTCTTTATTACCGATTTTCTTTACTGTTTGTTGTAGATGTTGAATTGCTCCATGTACAGCACTTTGTATGCAGCGATGGCTGTTTGAAAGTGCTCTATAAATACAATTGAGTTGAGATCTGTCTGTTACCATTAGTTTTGAGCTTTCAGTCATGGTTTTGTTTGCTACTTTGGATTCTTTTTGTTTTCAGGACTTTGTTTGTTTTGGATTTAGTTTTCTCGATGTTTTAATACAATTCGTCAAGTACAACAATCTGCTCCTCCCTCTTGCCTGCTTTTTGGGGTCCACCACCACCTCGCAAACGTGATACATACACATTTTACAAAAATTGTAAGTTATTCCTGAATTTTTTTTATTTTATTTTTTTTACTTTCAACCATTCAAAATGTTCAGAGGCATGTGCGCTATCCATACACATATAGTTTTTATTTTTTGTATTCTTTGCCCTCTATGGACAATAAAACAGTACAGTGCTATGACCCCAAAAAAACCTATATATATATATATATATATATATATATATATGTGTGTGTGTGTGTGTGTATATAAAACCTGAATTGGAAAATGTCATATCACACAATTAGAGCCTTGAAAAGGTCATCGAGTTATAACAACAAATTTTTTTTTATGCATGCCTATTTTTGGCAATGGCCGTTTTTGTGTATAGTACCCCTCAATGTACAATTTTGACAATAATTGTGGATGTTTTGAGGTGTGATAACTAAGTCATTTATGAATATTTATATATATATATATATATATATAAAACATGAATTGGAAAATTTCATATCACACCATTAGAGCCTTTCAACCACTCAAAATGTTCAGTGGCATCAGAGCTATCCATACACATACTGTATAAGTTTGAAAAGGAAAGTCACAACAACTATGAAGAATTTATAACAGAACTTATACAAAGTAATAATCCACCACCAAATACTGAACAAGAACAAACAACACTTTAGAACAAGAACAACACTATTCAGAACAAACAAGAAAAACAAACACTTTTCAGAACTTTTTTTTTCAGCAGTTTTTACAGAGGCTCCTCATATGTTTGCGGCAAATGGGGGTTCCACACTTTTCGCATGCATTTGATGCAATTAGTTTGTCTGTGCAGAGGCCACATTGTTTTCGCTTGGGCGAAGGTTTGGCCTCTTGTTGCTGCACTGCAGCCTGCATCTCACCTGCAGCAGTCTGTGGCTTTCTACGTTGAACCTCTGGCAAGATCAATGCATTGTCGACCTCCTCGAGGAACAGCCTTCTTCTATAAAGTTTGTTGGCGTTCCAAGTTGAGTTCACAGAGGTGTAGACCAAAAACGCATTGAAGGCTGAAATGTCCAGCATGTGGTAAAAAAGGCACATTGGCCACCGTTGTGCTCGCCGGCGAGTTGAGTATGTGCCACGTGCCTGTAAACACACACACACACACACACACACACACACACACACACACACACACACACACACACACACACACACACACACAAAACATCAGATGAAATCATTGAAAAGACAGCTTTGATAAACACTTTGTGACAAAGACAAAACTTGTGCTTACCTGGTCCAGGTGGTCCACTGCTCCCTTGGATTTATTGTAGTCCAGTATCATTTCGGGTTTTCTTTTGCCCCCATCCTCCACTTTCGACTCCTTGTGTGCTGTGCTGAGCACCAGCACATTTTTCCCTTTTTTGGGGACGTAAGAGACCAAAGCCATGTCTTTGGTGAAGCAGAAAATGCTTGAGAGGGGCTGCCTTCCTGCTGTTTGCGTCACTTGTGCAGGGAGCTCTGGCTTGTTCCTCCTTACCGCACCCAGAAGTAAGTTTTTCAGTTCTGCTGCAAGGGGTATTGACATGAAAAAAATTGTCCACGGTTATTGTGTGCCCTTCCAGCGAGTCGGTGAGTCTCAGCACCACACTCATTCCGACGTTGAGTTCACGCGTGCCCCCTGGAGGCTTGCCGGTGTAGACTTCCAGCTTCAAAGCGTACGAGGTTTGAGCATCACAGAGGGCCCAAATTTTGATGCCATATTTTGCGGATTTTGACGGCATATACTGCTTGAAGTTGCAGCGTCCCCGAAAGGCAATCAGCTGCTCGTCCACGCAGACGTCACATCCCACGTTGAACATTTTTTTCAGCCGGAAATTCCATCTGCTCCACAAATCCGATATCGGCGACAGTTTGTTGGCATGGTGCCGCTGTGGTCTTCGCAGCTTATCGTCGAAACGGAGCATTCTGTTGATTTCCATGAACCTCCGATGAGCCATTGCGTCAGGGAACATCGGACACCCGGTCTTGACGTCCCACAAGCTGCTCGTCACTTCATGCCTGGACCGGTACATTCCAGCCAGGATCAGCAGCCCGATGTACGCCCGCAGCTCTTGGGGCGTAAGGGGGGACCAGTTCTTGGTCGTTCGGAGCCCTTGGAGGTTGGTCATTTCGACGATTTTCGCGACGATCTCATCATACATAAACAAGTCAAACGCCGACTCCGGGCTGCTGATCCTGGCTAATGCATATAACGTGGGGCCAGGCGTGGGGATTCGTGAAGGGACGTAATGTCCAGCCACTTCATTTGTTGGATGATACATCACTTTTTTCATTTTTGAGCTCCATGCCGAATGAGGGCCCGATGTATCCTGGTCCTGCTCGACCGCTTCCGCAGCATCATCGGAGGCTCCCTCGTCTTCTTCCAAATCGGAGCTGTCCTCCTCGGTATTGTCGTCAGCGTCAGGCCGATAATCGGGCGAAAACTCCCCAGACAACTCATGTTCTGACGTTTCCGAACCGGAATTGTCTTGGGTGTCAGTTGCCAAAATTGCTTGAAGGACCTCCTCTCAGCTAAAATACTTTGTCATTTCTTCACTCTCCAGCGTCCAACTCTAGTGGTTGTGGCGGTTGCTCGAATACAAAATACCACCACCCCGCCGCCTTGACCAATCGCCGGCTAATATATTCAAATTCGAATTCAAACACGAGCCGGACCAATCATAGTTGAGATTCAAAAACGGAACTTGTATTCATGTTTCGAAATCTGAGCCAATCGCTATGCACAACATCTGTTTGGAAATAAAGACGCTCACACTCATGCGTATTGCATAGACGTACAAAATTCAAAACAACTTTATTTTTTGAAAAAAAAACCCTCGGCCAGTTATGTCTGGAGGTCCCCACCAAGCCCTACAAACAATCTGGAATTGTTCATGCATCGATGCAACTACGCATCGGTTTGAAGCCTCCTGCAAAAAGACAAAATAATTTGTGATCCTCTGGCATCACTTAATGGTGAAGGGGTTAAATGATCTCAACACAAAAAGTTGGCATGCATACGTCTGTACAAGCGTAAACAAAGCAGTTGATGTGAAAATTGCGTGAAATGCATGTTTGAACATTAGGTTTACAATGCATTTAAAAATATGAATTATAATGGGTGTCTCTGGTACAATAATTGTAGATTATGTACGTTGAAGTAGCAAATGTTCAATCTCATTGCTGCAATGCCTGAGAATTGTCAGCAGGTGGCATTATGAAATTCAAGGTATTTGAGACACCCCCCCTGGAAATTTCAGCTCTCTGGCGTATTTTTTTATGCTTTGTCTTTGATTTAAAGACGAAAATACGCAACAATTTCTGGAAATCGTAGACGAAAATCGTAGACAATGTAACCCGGCCGCGATAAGTGAAAAACCACGAAGGACGGTTGGCTCCCCACCAGGAATTTTTGTGTACGTGTATGTAGCAGCATGTTAAAAATATGTAAACAATGATTATACTTTATATATTTGAGACAAAGACTACAGCAGTACACATATTCACTTACAGTAAATCTTTAATTATAAAACCTTATTTAGCAATTAACATTCATCAGCATTGCCTGCTGAGTGAGGCGAAGATATTTGTGTTTGTGAAGGCTGCTTTCACTTTACGCACTGACGGTGTAGCCGCCGTTCGCCTACAGCTAGCTCCTGGCCAGCTATCCCCGCACAGCCGATGTGTTTATGATCAGACAATGAGTCAACATTGATGAGGAGGAGGTGAAGAGAGACGTGCTGCTTTTTTTGAACAAGTTCAATCACCCGCGGCTCCTTCCCCACACCGCGCACATAGTTAACACAACAGAGGAAAGTATGCCAGAGAGAGGCAGGTGAACGAGAGTTAACAGCGTGACGATACACATCGATCAGAGAGTCAACAGCGTGACGGGACACAAGGGAAGGTGCTGGGCGAGGCTGCGAAGATGCGCAGCCAATCAGCTCACGGAATAAATCCACTCGTGCTGTCATTGGCCGATGTCGTGCTGGGAACCAATCATGCGCACAGGGGTGTACAAAGCCTCTGAGTCATTCGACATTTTTTTTCTGAATACAGACTTTGAAAAAAAAAAACGCGATGTAGTGAAGCCGTGATAAACGAAGTGTGATGTAGTGAGGGATCACTGTATACAAGTACATTTGCAAGAAAAGTATGTGAACCATTTGGAATGACACGGATTTCGGCATAAATTGATCAAATCTGTCATCTCACTCCAATATATGTTGTGACTGAGCAAGATTATATAGCTTGACTTTGGACTTGGAGTAATGACTCGGCTTGCTTGCCCCCCGCAAGTCATGACTTGCTTGAAAAGTAAAGCTTCCGACTTGAAACTTACTCCCAACTTTGCTAACATTGTCTTGAGTCTGCAAACCTACAATCCAATCAGTGTGATTAGATTGGAGATGTTGTTTAAAGCTGCCACACAGATTGCAGGAACAAAGTACGGAACTGCCCCGTGTACCCTGGTAGTTTGTGTGATTCCCTTGTCCACACACAAAAAAGGTTCTTGGTCTGGGTGCTTCCATCAGGGTCCTCCTAAGTACCGAGAAAGCACTAGGGTCTTCGGGGACCATCCCGAAATGCAAAGTTGATGGCCACCTCAGCAAAGACAAAAAGGTAAATATGAAATACTCATCGAAATACTGGTTACCGTTTATTGCAATTGCTTGTGGCCAAATTGTTTGAGTGTGTTTTTTAATGACGACACTGCATTACGTTTCCCTGCTAAAAGTCTCACCACTTAAGTATTCATAAAACATGATAGAGTATTTATTTACAGAAAGTATATTTGTTTTTGGAAAGCCACTTTAATATTCAGTTTTAACATAATCATTGCACTTAGAGAAAAATATTATAATTTAACTGTCTGCCACTTGTTTAGTGCTTTTCTGCATATGTAGGCACTTAAACTGATTTCACATTTACCTACTGATGACACAGAATCAGGAGCACCTCGGGGTTCAGTATCTTGCTCGACGAAACTTCGACAGGGTCACAACCTTTGGTTTGGAAGACGACCAATCCAGCCCTGAACCATGCCGCCCAATCAAGCATTGAAAATGTTACGCTAACATCACATGCCTCTATCATCTAAAAATGGAATCTATCCTTCTTTCTGTCATTTTAAGATTGTCCTATTTGTGTTCAAATCTCAAAATGGCCGCACCCCAGCTTGCCTCGCTGAGCTCCTCCACCCATACATCTCTGCCCGGTGCCTCAGGTATGCTGGCCAGACACGAATGGAGGTGTTGAGGTCGAAGCGCAGGCTCAGAGGGTATTGAGCCTTTTCTTTCGCCGTTCCTTCCCTTTGCAATGACCTTCCATTTCCCTTGTGCTGCAGTCGATGTAAATAATTTTATATAACGCAACATACAATTTTACAAAAATTGTAAAAGTATGATTCCTGAATATTTATTTTACTTTCAACCACTCGACATGTTCAATGGCATCAGCGATATACATACACATAGAGTTCTTATTTTTTTCTTTGTATTTTTGCCCTCTATGGACAATAAAAGCGGTACTGTGCTATGACCAAAACATGTATATTTTTATATATACTACAAAAAA